TATTTTAGTACCTTTAGATAATGAATAAAGTTTAATTTATTACTTAATTAATACCCAGCTAGATTCTTCTTAACTTCCACAACACCACCTTATCTCACTGAGAATTATTTATTAATTGTAACAAACGTTTTCAACCTGTTCTGTTTAATTTATTTAATTTGCCAGTATTAATATCTTTAGTATTAATCTAAAACTAACATTTTATAAAATTATAGATATGTGCTTTGTTAGATAAGCCATAAATATTCTGTTTATTTTTATTTTTAAATTACTATTAAATTAAACATGCATGTATTTTACAGCTTTGTTTATCTATTGATGGAAAAGTTTACACATTTTATACTTTGGATCCAAATGATGATGATGTTGACCATATGATCATGCAGCTGGGAACAGCCCTTAAGAGTATATTTCCTCAAGTGCCTTTAGAGTAAGTAGTTTCATTTATTAAGTCATGAAATATCAATATTTTATTTTCTTATGTATATATTTAAATACTTATAATGTTTAAAATATAAATATTTACATTAACACCTATATGGGTTATATTTTTGCATAATTGTTTAGGATAGAAATTTGATTGTATACATGGTCATACAATCAACACACTGTATAGCATATCATTACATAAAATAGATTATCAACTGATCTCTTGATTATTAAGGAATTACAAAAGTTTAAATGACACTCTTCTGAAGACTTAAGACATTTTCTAATTGTAGTACATTTATCAATGTAATTTGAAAAATTTCTTCAAAAAATTCTACTTCCATTTGTTACAGAATCTTTTGAGAAATGATACAATATATATTCATTTTTGTTTAATTTTGTCAAAAAATATATTAATTTCAAAACATCTAGCGAATGGTTTACTTGAAACATTTCTAGTTGTCAAGTGACATAATAGGACACCTAGAAAGGTTTGGTCAGATGCATTTTAATCTTTGTTCATATTTATGTTTTTAGATTGTACTTTCTCATTCACACTTCAGATTTATGCTGTAAATATTTTATTTTGTTAATTTATATTATTTTGTAATTTTAGATGATTTCCATTTGTTATTTTAGATTAACAAAGATTTAATGATACTTATTCTTTCAGTTTTTATAATAGCATCATTTGTCATGATTACATATATCCACAATAATGTTTGTGTAGCATGTGCACCATTACCCTGAGATATGATGTAATAGTGTAAAACAACTAATGTTTTAATAGGAATTAAATAAAAAGGTGATGAAAAATGCAACTCACCTTTACCTAAAAAATAAACTCAAACTCAGAACAGCCGTGGGATATGTACTGTACTTATAGGTTAGAATGCAGTTACTATGAATGTAACCCACTCTTATGAATATATTTATGCTGGTGCATAAATCCAATAGCTTAAAATTTGTTCCTGTTTTTATGCTTTTTATTTATTTACTTTGTTTGTCTGTCCAGATAAAGTAATTCAATTTTCAATCATTTCAGAATTTCCAATTTAGTTGAAACTTTGTATACATTTATATTTCTGATGACAATACATTTTTTTAGAGTTTGCAAACAATTTCGACAAAAAATTAAAATTTGTAAAAATCTAATAACAAATGATGTTTCACATAGATGAAGCCATTACTCCTTTTTACTCATACTGTCTACATAAAATCTTGTAACTCAGTTTTTTCACCCAGTTCCCAATTAGATGCTAAAACAAAAATAATTTCAATAATCGGATTATGTCAGAATAATTTCAATCGGGTTTTGGGCAGTTAAGTGTTATATATAAAACTAAAAGATAAAAAATATATATAAAAAGAAAGGTTTTAAATAAATAGTTTTTATTCACATAAATTCATTTAAAAGTAAAAATAAATTTTCTTCAGCTTTCACAGTATTCTTGGTATTATGCAACTAAAAATAAAAGTGTGGGAATGCTCATGGGAAGACCATAAAAATTGATAGAAAACATAACTAAGAGTATTTCTAAATATTAACACTCCGTGCTTTTATTTTTGGTTCCATAATGCCAAGAATACTATGAAAGCTGAAGAAAATTTATTTTTATTTTTTAGTGCATTTATGTGAATAAAAAGTTTTTTAAAACTTTTTTTATATATATTTTTTTCCCCCTTGAAAATACTTAGGATTAAGGAATTTTGACTATTACATATAGGTTTAATTTATTTTAAACATGAAATATTTATAAGTCAAATAGTTATTTGGTTGCCTTTTCTTGATTTAAAATTCAATACTTCTCTGGCATAAAACCTATCTCCACCGAATGATATTAAAAGAAATTATTATTCAAACTAATCTTATTTCTGAATTTCCTAGTAGGAAATATCTGAGTTGTTCAGTATGAAATCTAATAAATTAACACCACTGATCTACTGATAATGTTTTTTAAATAATAATTGAATAAATGAAACAAAATTTCAGTATCCTATTGGATGGCATGACAATCATAAGCTATTGAGTTTTTACTATATGAGGAAGTTCATTTTTTGTTTAACAGATATACAGTAGAGCATCAATTATCCAACTCAATTGGGGACTCGGGTTGGTCGGATAACTGAAAAAATCAGATAACCAAAAAGAATGAAAAAGTACATTATTAGTATATCCCATGTAATTAGTATATTAGTATATCGCTATTAACCAACTTCACGTTGAATTTTCATCGATGTTAAGCCTAACAAATTTTTTTAAAAACAATAATCATCACTATTGTATCGTTAAAAATTATTTTTAAATTATTTTATTGCTTACAAAACAAACAACCACTCATAATTAGAAAATTAAGCCTTGTTTAAGTACTGGCCTCCCTTCAATAGTCGAGCCGTGTTGCCAGCTAAAACACACAAAAATTTAACAAAAATAATATTAAAGTAGCCAAGACATAGCGAAATATTGTAGTGCCACATCACTAGCGGACATTTGAAATTTTCCAACTAGAACAGTCGGATTAACCCCCGATTAACCGATGTTGGATAATCGATGCTCTACTGTAATTAATATTATTAATATTTTTGATACTTAATGCAGTTTAGGTGGTTCCATCTCAAATATTTCTTTTTTCTTCATTTCACTTATTTCATAATTACATCTACAATAAAATTGCTAATGGAAATAAAATGAAAGAAACCAGGAAAAAAATGAAATGTCTGAAGTGACATATTTTAAACTGCACATGAGTTTAATGATGTTTTCAATGGCAGTTTCAGAGGCAGGCTATGCAATGCTTTTATTGTCATTTTAGCTATTATTTGCAGTGTATATGCTAATGCAGATAAAATGCAAAAAGTTACAGTAGTTTTGTAGTTTACAAGAAGATTTTTTTTTTTTATTAAATCTTATTTAGAAAATAATTACATCTTAAATAAATAAATAAGGAAATAATTACATCTTATTTTTTAAAAAGTTTTAATTTTTAATTATTCAAAATTATGCTAATAATTAATAGAGAAGAATTAAATTTTCTGAAGAATTAAATATGCTTATTTGATAACATTTATAAATTTCTATTTAGTCATGTTATTAGAAAAATTGATGTAGTTCCATCATCAAGATTACAGTCAATGATAGAATATAATGAAGGATTAGAAAATAAAGATTGTGGTCCCTGTGGAGGTTATTCTACTCAGTATGCTTGTATGTGTGATTATCATGTCCTTCCTTACAGAGAAGAAGTTGCATGGGTAATAATTTATTTTCTTATTATTAATTAAATAATTTGATATTTAATTCTGATCTACATGTTAATAACTATAATATTTGAGAGATTATTTAAAATATAAAATGTATTAAATAATTAACATGAAAGAAAAATTAATCTTAACACATTCAAAAATAAAAATTTCTAATAAATTAATTAAAATCAAAACTACTTGCTTTAGGAAACAAAAAAATATTTATTATAAATAGTTTCAACTCCACTTTTTAAATCATCTTTGATACCTATATAAATCAAATGTGAAACAGAGTTAATAAAATTTTTAAAAATCAGAATGTTGTAATGGTGGTGGAATAAAATATTGTTTTATTAACTCTTTTTCTCATTTGATTTTATATGTATATCAATGTTGAACTAAAACAAGAATGGAAATGTTTCAAAATAAACATTTTTTATTTCCTAAAGCAAAGTTTTATTTTTTGATTGCTCTGGTGCTTATTTTTGTGCACTTAAAATAACTACCATAACTAATCATTTTAATGGGATAACCTTAATAACTAATAATGTTATAAAATTTTGATGTAACAATTGAGTATTAACTTTTAGAAAAATTTTTTTGCTTTAATATAAATATGGATATATAAATAATGCATCAGTTTTTGAAAATTATTATAATGAAAATAAATACAGGACTAGGCAACTAAAACAATAGAAAAGAACTCTTTATACAATAGGAAGTATAAAGTACAAAAAATCTTAATGTTACTCTCTACTGTATAAAGAATTATTTTCTGTTGTTTCTGATGTCTAGTCAGGTTTAATTTTTTTATTCTGATGTATGAATAAGAATAAAAAAGTTTTGATGAATCAAAAACACTAGTGTTTGAGAGAGATTTTTAAATTTTATAGTATTGTAATGTCAAATTTACCAATACAGTATATTGTGAGGTTAAATTTATAATGAATATGTTAGCAAGAAAGAGATAAATACAGATATTTATCTCAGAAATAGATGTGATATAATCTCTGATTTTATTGTATTACCATTGAAATTTACAAATAATATAGCTTTATAAATTTTTTTTATTTACTATATTTTATAGCATATAAAATGCACCTCTGTTTTAGCACAGAATATTTAGGAAAAAGTGTATATCTAAGCCATCTTTATAATAAGATAACTGACAAGTTATAATGTAAATAGAAAGTAACATGTCTAAGTGCTGAGAAAAGATTACTACTAATCTTTGTACAGTTGGAGATTTATGATGAATGATCGATTGATAATTGTCTCAAATTATCTAACTAATATTTACAATAATTCCATGTTAAATAATTAGAATTAGTAATTATGTTTAATTAAACAATATCATTTTTATTCAAGAGTTGGGCTAGTTAGAAGTTACACTGTAGTTGTCCAAGCCTAGGTGTTCTTACATTGTCTAACCATATAGATGACTATAAATGAACTTTGTCTTCCTAGAAAAGTTAATTTTACTGAAGACCACTTTGGGAATTCATTGGTCTGTAGGAGATTGCAACTTCACATATAAGTACAAGGCATTTTTTTTTACAAAAGTTGCATCTTATATGTTGTAAAATATAATAATAATTTTAGAATGAATTTCCTTATTAAAATTTATGAAATTAAAAAAGGTTTTTGGAATGGTATTTTTACAATTTAAATACATTTATTTCTTGATTTATGAACACAATAAATACTGATTTTTATTTATCTGTAACAATTGAATTTATAGTTTTGAATCTGATGTATAAACAATATTTTTGTAAATATAAACATTTCTGTTTAGATCTGAGACAAATTTTTGAGGATTTTCTTGTTAGTGCCCTATGTTTAAATAATACTTAACATCTATTTAATCTCTTCTAGTACAGAATATTGTGAGAATGAATATCATATTAATTTTTATGTTCTCTCGAGAGGTAAATTTACTTTATCAGACTAGTGTTTACTATTATATCAGTTTAATGTCATTTTACATCTTCCTATTATAAAAAATAGAGGAGTAATGTCAAATTGTTGTAAAAGTAGGCATTAATTTATCAAAATGAATACATCTAAAATAATTGCTTATATTGTTCATTTTCTAAGTAATATGACTAAAAAAGATTGAAAAAGTGATGATGATGAAAAAGATTAAAAGTAAAATGAAAAGTGCCAAAATCTGTTTTGGCAATAATAATTGTTAACAGTGAAAAAATAAAAGCAAATTCAATACATGCTGCTAATGCTAACAAATTATCCAAAATGATTAAAGAAAGAACAGATTTAAAAAAACTTTTTTATTGTTAATACAGTTGCTACAATATAACTTATTGCAGCATGCCTTCATTTAGTTTGTTTAGAAAAAAAATAATTGTTTAAAGATTTGATGATGATGATAAAAATGTTGGTAACAGCGAGTTTAAGGCTAGATACAGTTGGTTCAAACATTTTCACAAGAAATTATTGCAGCATAACACAAAGTAGTTATGGCATGTTGCTAACAGAGACATCCTACTGAAGCTTTACTGTCAGCAGGTTGCAGGAACTATTTCAGCAAACAGCTGTGTTCCCTGAAATATTTGAAAAAATTGTTATTGAAGGTGATCATGATCTAAATCAGATCTTCAATTTGGATAAGATCCAACTATTCTGAAAATGAATGTCTTACATATCATTTAAGGAAATGCAAATCCAAGAACACGTGGAATCAAAGAAATAGGATATTAATTAAAAGAAACTTAAATGGCTTTTAATTGTAGTTTCTTTGCATGTATGGCACTCCTAGTTCATCAAGGGTTATCAAACAATGACCTCCATGTAAAAGACAGTGTTTTACAGATATATTTAAGGCAATCTTAAATGGGGATTGCATTAAATCTACAACACTGCTGTATGACATGGGGCTAAATAACAGCTATAATAATTATAAGTTACTAATAAATTTGATCCTAGAGGGAGGCATTAGGTGCCATCTCATATTAAATTTAATAATTATAATTTAATAAAATAATTTTAGATTAAACTGGGAGAAAAGAATTGGTCTTGAGCAAGACTTGAACTTGCAACTGCCACTTGCTGTGGGGATTGCATAAGAACAAAGACTGTAAAACACTATCTTTTGCATGTAGGTCATTGTTTGATAATCTTCTGATGAACATGGGGATGCCAAACAAGCAAGAAAAATATAACTAATAATCCATTTAATTTTATATTTATTAATATCCTATTTCTTGTGTTTTATTTTGCTTATGTTATAGAGTTTATTGTATATTTTGGTATATTTGAAACTGTGTCCAGTAATTTTTAGTAATTCGAACACAAATCAATTATTGTATATTCAGACACTTGGCAAATCTCATCATTAAATTTTATTCAAGTGAATAAAATTTGCCAACTGTCTGAATAAATACATTAATTGATTTGTGTTCAAATTACTATTTATTATATTTATTAATACCAGTTATTAACCATTTTTACGATTTGAAATGTTTCACATTAATTAAGTAAGCTAAAGGCTATTTTGTTCATATTTTGTAATATATCATAGAATGTTTGATGCATTCCATTTTAGAATCTCACAAATTCAATTTCATCATTTAAATCTTGAGATAATTTCTGAAATAAGCCAAAACATTTGTTTTTACAATAAATGTTTGCTAGAAAAGTATTTATGGTGTTTGCTTGGTGAGTCGAGTTAAATGTTACTTAATATAACTATGTGAAATTTTTCTTATAAAAATGGTTTCTCTTCGTTCATTCGCTTATTCTAATAATAGCATTATTATTTATAAATCATTTTTAAAATTTTCAATAATTGCTAATACTGAAAACATAAACAAAACAATTAATAATGTTTTTGATATACTAATCATATCTGAAAATTTTAATAACTATTCTTTGGGTTCTAAACTATTCTTTGTATTGCATTAAAACAATAATTTTTATTTTATAGAAAAAAGTAAATACACAATGAGCAGAATTAAGAAATGCATTAGATTAAAGACAAAATTATAGACTTTTTAACAGGTTTAATTAAAACTTTATTCATTTAGACAAGCTTATAGTAAATGAAATACAATAAAATAGCTCAAAAAATTATTATTATTTTAATAAGATAAATTATCATTAAATAAAATAATTATATATTCTTCAGTTTTCCCTTCAAAAATATAGAATTTCTCCAAATTTTTTCTATTAATAATGTCTCTGCATTTTTTCCAACTGATTAGTAAAATCTTCACTTTGGGGAAAACCCAATCTGATAATTTTGTCCACAGTATATGAACAACAATAATGGAGAGTGAGATGGAGGAAGAAAGGAAGGAGTAATGATGATAGTACAGTGCGTACAAAAGTTAGACTTGGAATTCTTAAAAAGTTGTTTTAATATTTACAAAAATTTAAGTATCATTAACAAGTTTGCAACAGTCTTGAAAAAGAATTAAAATTTGAACATCAGTTTGCAAGAAATATATGAACTTTAATTTTTTGGATAAATGCAAAATGAAAGATTGTAAAAAACATTGATCATTGATTTTTTAAAGAAAAGACCTATTATCAATCTTTAACATCAACATTAATCTATGTTCATCCACAGAAAGCACTGTTGAAAAATTTAAGGAATTTTAAATAATTCCAATTCATTTCGTGCAGTTTTTCTGTTGTTTCAATGATCACCTTCACTTACATAGCCTATTGACCTAGAGCTTAAAAATTAGATTAATTTTTCTAAATAATAATTTTTCTTTGGAAAGTAAAAAAGAAACTAAATATCTTTCTAGTTTATTTATTATTATTTTTTCATTATTTCTTTGTGTTGAAAGTTTTCTTGTAAAAGTAAGTAGATATTTAAGCTTGATTTTAAAACAGAGACTTATTATGTACTGTACATTTAAATTAGTATTAAAATGTTTTCAGCAATGTTTTTCTTTTATGTATGAATTTGTCTTTTATTCTTTTCTAAAGCTCACTAATTATCTGAATAGCCTAAGCTAGGCAAATCATTTTCTTACTTTCCAATTTTTTTATCTAGTTATACAATAAAGAATCAAATTAATTAGTTTTGAGATAATTTATGATAAAATAGAATTTATGAGAGCATTACTTACAAATTGGAATTTTATCCATAGCAGAATAATAGAATTTGTGGTTTTAATTTACAAATTTTTACATTTTGAAAAGGTTTTCAGGAACAATTTAGATTAATAAAGTAAGTTATGATTATATATGAATTTAGCTACCATCTAGAATGAAAATAAATCAGTCTTTTTATTGCATCTTGAATTTGTCAAAATAAAACTATTAATTTAACAAGAAAAATATCAATTTGATAAATATCTTAGATCAATTTTATGTTATTAATTATTTACATAAAATGTTTGTTTTTATATCTTATGATATTAAGGATTTTTCATTATATTTAAATTTTAACAATTGAAAATTTTTAAAATTTTTAAGGATGTAGATACCATTTATTTATCTCATGATTGTAAAGAATTGTCTCTCCAAGATTTTGATCATCTAGAAGGAAGGTAAATTTCAATTTATATGTAATATGTACAGTGGCACCTCACTTAACAAGCACCTGACATAATGAGTATTTTGCATAATGAGCAAAATAAATTGTGAAAAAATGACTTGCTTAATGAGTGATGTTTCGCATAACGAGTGATGAGGAGAGGTGAAGTCCCCGGATTGTGAGTATGCGCCATCAGTCTGTGTTTAGCACTCATTCTGCTAGCATCTTAGGATCAAGTTATAAACTCTGTAGCATAACCATATCTGTATTCGTAAATGTTTGCTACACTGAATATCTATAGCAATAGTTATAAAATACAGTAAGGCTGTTTCCTTATCCTTTATGGAACAAACTTTTTTTTATGGCTTACGAAGCAGTCCATCGTGAGAATGCACAAAATCATTGGCTGATGTTGCCAGATCTAAAACTATAATTATTTATTCATTTTTCTATTTTTTTATGACCAAAGTAATTCTTATCTTAAAATTTTATGTTGTTCAGAAGTAGCATTGTCAGTCAAAAGATATGTTTCAACCAATTTGTTTCTTCCTGCACAACTTCCGATTGTATAGCGACTGACTTAGCGCATGTGCAGTTCGTCAATTCGCCATATCCCTACCGTAAGTTTGGTCAATTCAAACTTTTCTTACCGAATACAGTACAACCATACAGTTACATTACAGAGTTTATAACTTGACCCTTAGTGTTGCTTGTGATCACACATTTTCCAAACTTGTGTTCAGACATATTACATATAAACATCAACAACCATAGCCCATTATATAATAAACACATCAAATAATAAGCCAAATTCTTGGGCTATGTAAAGGCTATAATTAAATACAGTAAAATTTCTTTTGAATACACGTTATACAGTCAACTCCCCCCTATAACACTGTTGATTATTCCATTTTATATGAATTCCATGTTGTACGAGTCACTTAGATTTTACAAATGTGTGAGCCGTTCACAGCCCAGCACACGTATTTGTAAAATCTAAGTGACTTGTATAACATGGAATTCATATAAAACGGAATAATCAACAGTGTTATGGGGGGTCGACTGTATTTGATTTTAACGTTAGTTTGTCTCGAGAAGTAGCAAGTGGCTGTGTTGTGTTTAAATCAGTAAATCAGATAGTCTATATATCTGTATCAGTATAATATTTTTGCATTTACACTAGTTCAGTTTCTGTGTTTAAAAAGTAGATCAGTTAAGAGACTTATTGTTTTTACAGCAATTGTAGTTACTTATTATCATTGAAAAGGATTATGTTGTGACAATAGGGACTCGAATTAAAAAGGAGCATTTGCATGGACAGGGTATATATATCAGGTGCGAAACGTGTGCCTGCGTGTGATAAGAGTTAGTAGAGTTATTTAGGTAATATTGGACTACTCTATCACATACAGAACTTTTACGTTCTGTGTGTGATAGAGAGTTGCTTAGGAAATATTTGCATTTGCATACTTTTGCGTTCGTTATGTTTTCCTCTATTTTTACTAAATTCATATACGTTGAAGTGGAGACAATACAATGACAAGTTAAGGAAAGTCATATGTCAAAACGGCTGCAAGCTGCCAATTTGATTGATGTTTCTTATCTATTTACTAGCAGATGAGCCCGGCATTGCTCGAGCAAAAAGTAACGATAGCGAAGATTAAGATTATTAGATTATAGTCGATCTTACCCGTTTTCACCGGATGCAAGAATTAGGTCTCCCTCTTCCGAGATTAATTAGAGAATTTTTACATGGTCTGAAAATATGTTCGATTTTCTGCAAAAACGCGAAAAAACCGCATCTAAAATAGTACAGTAAAGCCGAGTTCTTTAAGATAATACTTAACTCTCTTCCTCTCTCCCGCGGGGGGATTTCGAAAAATCCCTTCTTAGTGTACGTTCTCATGACGTACCCTGTAGTATACCAAAACACTCCTAGCCGTTTGGGCCCTGCGCTTATTATTATTATTATCCACCCATCTCGATTATATATATATATAGATTATATTCTGTTACCTACTAGTTTTGCAACAATTATCTACCCTATTAAAATAGGATAAATAAAATAACGATAGTTCAACACGAGTTCAACGCGAGTCTGATAAATCAGTGGTCCCCAACCCCCGGGCCGCGGACCGGCACCGGTCCGTGGATCAAATGGTACCGGGCCGCCCAAGGAACATTAAATTACTGGTATTTCCATTTTATTTACTATGGTATATTTCTCTCGGGTTTGTGCGACTTTTAATGGACGACGGAACAACGGAATAAACTGGACATAAGAAACACACTTCGGGTGTCATTGTCTCCTATTACCCCCAGATGGAACCGTCTTGTTGCAAAGAAACAAGCTCAGGGTTCTCATTGATTTAACGTTTATTTTTTTGTGTAACTATATTTTATTTTGAAGGCATGTTTAAATACAATTAAATTAAAATTATTAAATTAAATCAATCTAAAATATAAACAATCAACGTCCCCCCTCAGTGGGCCGCGGTAAAATATCAAACGTTGACCGGTCCGCGGCGATAAAAAGGTTGGGGACCGC